AAATGCTTCGAAACTGTTTAAAGCTTCCGACGAGTCGGGCCTTATATCAAATAAACTGTAAATAAGTGAGATACTGTCCGTAGTTTACGCCAGTAGTACACATAAAAAAATAAAAATAAAACGCGATATATTGTAATCAAACTTTTTTGACTCCCCGTGACTACGGTTGCTGCAAAGCACCAGAAACGTCGAGCCGTAGTTAAAAATAATTCTCAAAAAAGTTTATCTAAAATATATCGCGTTTTAAACCGTTATAGTGTTTTATTTGTAAATAAGTTAACTAATATATTTAAATTAAATTTGCATTAAATGTGCAATACTCGGGTAAAGTACAAACAGTACTTAACTATAACTCAATTTTTTTACCCCATTTCTTTCAAGCGCAATAAAGTGTTGAATATATCTCAAAATGAACACGTCAAATCCGTACGCCTAAATTAAGTTGAATGCTCGAAAAAAGGCTAGAATTTGGAACGACGCCGGCAAAGGGAATTTTATTGAAACCTGAATACATTTGAAGCGTGAATAGAGGAATACTGATGCTCGATCAATAGGTAATGCGAATGTTACATTTCATGTATTGAATATGTGATTCACTGAGATCTATATCTGATATAGTAACGCAATATCGACTACTCAATCAACTAAGCAGAACACACACGTCTGTTCTACTACTACGAATCTAAAAATGACGCACAAATATTCTTAGTTGCTGAAAAAATTTGGGTTGATTTTATAAGTAACTAGCAGAGTCAGCGACTTCGTCCGCGTAGAATACTTATTTATTAATTATTTATAAGTTATTTTGGGCATCTAAAATTGTTTTTGCAAACTGTCACCTACGTCATCGGTCGCGTCCCGTCGCTCGCAGCCCGTCGTTCGGGTCCCGTCGTTCTTGCGAGTTCATGTTAAGAGATAGACATATACTGTCCCGGACGTTTTTTTGGTAATTTAAAGAGAAATCATTCTCTCATATATATTACTTGGGTGTCAGAGTTCGCCTCAGAGACCCATAATGGGAAATAATTTTCCCAATTTTTGTCACATTTCCCGCTGTATCTTCGCTCCTATTAGTTACTGGAGGATGTTTTATAGCCTATAGCCTTCCTCGATAAATGCTCTAACCAACACAAAATAATATATTTAACAAATTAACAAACAAACACACTCTTCAGCTTTATATATTAGTAAGTATAGATTTATGATATGCAAGTGAACACAAGTTGTGCCCTGCGCGATCGAAACATTATAATAACAGTTTTTTTCCGGGATTTGTGTTTTTGCTTTTGATATCTGAACTTCAACTTTACATATATGCAATTAGGGGAGACAAGCATTAGGGTTCACATTTAGGTGTAATACCCCAGTCACATAACACCTTAGCAAGACGCACTGTTGACCTTTTGCATCTGTAGACGGTGGTTCCGGGCGGAATTTGTAATTCAGGTTTTTAGACGAAGTGTTTCAGAAATAATATGAATTGATTAGAATCATGTTGGACTCGGGGAAGACCCCACGGCCTTTATTATGAGCACGTCAAAAAATAAACTTAAAGTAAATATTAAACTAAGGTTAAAATGTATCCAGTTGCTTTATAATATACATGACATTCTGGGAATAAAGCGTCAAGGGGATTCTCAGGCGTCTGGAAACAAATTCGAACGCAATTAGCTTCTTCAGCCGGATACAAGCTCAAACTGAGTTATACGAGTTGATTGCTCGCTTAAAAGGCTAGTTAGTCACCTTTATTTTTTTATGCAAGCTTTATCCTCTTTTGAAATCTTCTTTAAACCTTTCTAATCAACATAATAAGCATTAAAAATATTTGATATTTTTGAGCAGAACCCGAATCGAAAATCGTAATATTTGATTTTACGATTTTCGATGCAGGATACATTAAAACGGAATAATATTAAAACAACAAAATTATCTCTGTTTAAATCTTCACTTGTTTATAATTTTTTTGTTTTCAGCTTAATTTATTTGAGAAATTTTTTTGTGTCATCCACGTAGCTAAGCAGAAATTTCTCGTTAAACTTTGAGACAAAAGAGATGTTTCTTAGTGCCGAGTGCAAAAGAGAAAATATCAAAGCGAGTCAAGTCATCTCAATATAAAGACAGAGCTATGAAACCGAGTGGAAAAAAGCTATAATGACGTCGCGCTGTTTCTTGTGAATATTTTTCTAAGTATTTTATAAAGCACGGCGATACTGGATATTTATATTGAAAACATTTGTAATAACTAATGTTATCAACACAAAAAAATATATGAAAACCTTAACACATGAGTGTCAAAAAAACTGCATTAAACAATAAATAAATAAAATTAGTTGAGCTTACGAACTTTGTAGTTTGTGAAATTGCCATACAATATTGACGTTACACCAATTAAATTGTATTTATCTAACCGCCTTGTATGTAGTGTTAGAGTAGTTAGGAGGCGACTATATATCTAATCAATGTTAATCTATCTATTCATGCACTTTAAGAAAATATTCAGGTTAAGCATTTCCAGCTCCCAGGAGACGTTGAAAACACGGGAATGCACTTGCGAGAGATCATTTGAAACAAAGGAACGATAAATTATTCCAAGTAGATAATATTATAGGTATTGTTTTTAAATGGGTCATAAATTCACACTCCCCCAAATAACTATTAACATAGAGAGATTTTATTACGGACTAAGTTCATGCCTAGGCCAAGAAATTATTGATGTTCCAAAATCCTAAAGTAACAAATTGAAGAGAGAGTAAAAGACTGCTATATTTATAAGTAATTGACTTAGATATTACTGCTATTAACTTTTAACATACCAGTTTAAAGATCAGTTTTCTTGAATTATATATTTATAGTATTAGGCATCGTATTGCACTTAAAGTAACTAAATATGTATCTACGATAAAAATAAATAATCGAAATATTATATTGTAAATTGCCGACTCGTTTCTGTTTAATAAATAAAAGTAATTACATCACAGAGTTAATTATTTTCGTGTAAAAATAATTAATACAGAAAAAGTTTTTAATAAACACGACGTTTTAATTTCGCTAAAGAAATCACCGAAAGCCCAAAGAAATAGCGAAACCAATTACGTAGTACAACCGTAGTGTAAATAATTTTACTTAAGTGGGTCACCTTGAATCTAACCTTGCTTTGATTAGATTTCAACTTACTGAATAGAATGTCAAAGAAAACATCTTTAGTATGAAAGCGCTAGAAAAGGTGGACGGATTTTTTGCATAACACATCAAACATTTTGTGTTTCTAGTTTCAATTGAATGTGATTTAGCACTGGCGTCTGCCCCATTCATCTCGGCTCACTCTAATGGAATAATAACCGGGTTGAACACGAATCGCTATTAGTTTTTCCCTCTGTGTGCATGAAAAGCAAATTATTTTGAAAAACTTCACATTGTGCGAAGTTGAAAACGTGCTCTCGCATCGAATTAAAAGCCATCTCCCACTTCTGTTGCGACGCGCTTAGACTTTTCTAGTTTCCACGTTTCAACTGAGAGATCTGCTTTCAAATTAATTATCTTTTTCTTTACTTAATAAGTCGAATGTCTAATATTTAATATAAATTGTCATAGATTAGAAAATTATTAATTTTCTTTGTTTAAAATGGGTGCAGATTGTACATAAGCTTCAAAACATAGTTTTATTTAATATTTTAACAGATTAAAATATATTCCGTTCTGTAGATTGCACAATGTGCTGAAAAAACAAGATAAAATGTTAAATTTGATATACAAACATCACTAGACTAACGATTGGTCTACTGTAATCTATTTATTTTTTTAATTTAGTGTACGAATTTAAATAATTCGGAACCGAAAACAGATCAGCAGGCAATTCGCTCGTTATCCTGTATTCCTCGAACCTTCAAAGAACCATAACGAGTACATCACTTAAGACGTTGGTGTCTACATTATGGGCCAAAGAAAAGCAATTTACGCCTAAGGTATCGAGGGAGGCGCGGCGAAAATTTAAGCTTGGGGTGTTATTAAAATCTCTTAGGGCTCAGACGAGAAGTTATGACCGGCCGTACGAGATCGTTAGCAATATTTGTGTTGTGTTTAGCGCCGCTAGTGGCCGTTAAGCCTGGTCTGCGTTAATAGGAATTTATTTGGTGCGTAGCTTTTAGCGAAAATTGGCTTACGGTGAATTAGAGATAAAATGGTTTCGGGATAACCACAAGATTTATATGATGTTATTTTTAGCTTAGAATTTTCTTAAACAGAATAGATTTTGGCCAAGTTGGAGTTAACATATTTCCAACACATATTTTAGTTTTACCTTTAAAACGTATTTCTTTACTCGCAATGTAAAGTTTTCATCAAGTGAAAAGAAGATTTATTAAGTACCGCTTAAAATTGTGTTTAGTTCCGTAATTCAAAGGAAAAAACGTTTCTACCCTTTATCTGAATAACTTGAACTTTGGTAAATAGAGATTGGACTTTTTTAAAAATAAAAGTACCAAAAGCTAATATATCTAATATTTAAAGCTGAAGAGTTTGTTTGTTTGAACGTCCTAATCTCAGGAACTACGGGTTCGAATTAAAAAAATATTTTGGAGTTGTCTAGAGCATTTATCGAGGAAGGCTATAAGGCTAAGGCTAAAAAACATTGCCCTGTGACTATTACAAGCAAAGATACAGCGAGAAATGTGAACAAAGTTGGGAAAATTATTCATCAATATGGGTTTCCGAAACGTACGCTGCAAAGACGGTTCAAGATACCAAAAAAATATGTAGGAAAGAATGATTCCTCTTTAAATAATAATAAAAAAAAGTCCGCGTCTATCTTTAAAGATTAGTTTGCAAGAACGACGGGAAGGGGTCCCATCCCTTCGACGTCGACGGGTAAAACCGAATTTGGACACCCAAAATACCTATTCTACGCGAACGATGTCGCTGGCACAGTACTTAATATAAATAACACACAACAAAGCTACCATTATACACCTTATTCATCTTTCAGAGGACACCGCACTCGCATTATGTATTCATCACGCAAATCCGCCGAGTTAGAGCGAGGCCCCATTAGTGCGTTGCGCCGCGTTGCGTCGTCGCAGCGTCGTCGCTGCGTCGTTTTCCATACATTTTATATAACATGCCCCATTAGACCGTTGCGTCGTCGCGCGCGTAGTTTCAACGGATCGACGGACAAGAGACGAAGCGGGAGGGGGGTGATGCGCTGCGTTGTCGGAGCTCCGCTGCGACGACGGACAGTGATGCACTGCTAGAGGAGGAAGCTAGACGAGCGTAACGACATTTTTTATCTTACCATGAGTGAGCAGAATATTGATATAGATTTTCTCATATCCTTGGTCCAAGAAAGACCCATTATATGGGATAAATCACACGAACATTACAGTGATAAATTTCGTAAAGCGAATGAATGGGTAGCTGTTTGTAAAAAAGTATTTCAAGATTACGACGAGTTTGAGGACCAAAAAAAGAACAAGATTGGTGAGTTGGTATTTGTTATATTATTTGTAAATTCAATACATAAGTTAATTTATATCTTTTTCAACTGCCATGGTAAAGCCCCTTCTGGACTCATAAAGTAATTAGCAAATTGATCTCTGATAAAATTTTCGGCTAATGATTCTTCACTGCTATGGGGTCTCAATTGTGGGAACCTACTTATTGCCATATTGTCTTGTTGTTTTAACCCATCGTGTTGTATAACAAAATTGTGTAAAACACAACATGCTTTCGCAATATTAATAGTTAAATCATATGACGTATCAATTGGCCTATGTAAAATGCGCCATTTATTTGCCATGATCCCAAATGCACATTCCACGTATCTACGAGCTCTGCTAAGGCGATAATTATAAACTCTTTGTTTCACATTGAGATTGGATCCGCCGTATGGGCGCATAACATGCTTACTTAAACCAAAAGCTTCATCACCGACGAGTACATAAGGGATTGGTGGCTCGTTATTATGATCATTTCCAAGTGGTTGTGGATCAGGCAATGGTAATTCATTTCTCATTAAAAGCTTGTACAGTGTCGAATTTCTAAAAATAGTAGAATCACTTTCCTTACCATATGCACCCACGTCGAAAAAAACAAACTTATAATTTGAGTCAACAACCGCCAGCAAAACAATTGAAAAATAATTTTTATAATTATAAAACAAAGAGCCACTTTTGTCTGGTTTTATTAAACGTATATGTTTCCCATCAATTGCCCCAAAGCAATGAGGAAAGTTAGCTTTGAGATCAAAATCTAATGCAATATTTTGTAGTTTTTCTACTGTGATCTCTTCTAAGTACTGTGGTCGAACATATTTCCATATAGCTTGACAAACTGACGAAATAGTTCTGGAAATTGTTGCTCTTCCACGTTTAAATTTGAAATGCAAATCGTTTATCGAATTTCCGCTGCCTAAGTACCTGAAATAGAAACACAAAAAATAAACAGGGTGGCCCATTTAGATTGGTCAGTGTAGACAAGTTAGGTACTTACACATTTTTTTCTTTCTTTGCAGGTAACGAGGTTGTGAAAAAATGGAGAAGCGTGAAGGACAACTTTTTTCGATACGTAAAAAAAATAAAAGAAAACAGTTCGTCTGGATCAGGGGCAAAACAATTGAAAAAATATCATTATTATCATCAGTTGCTGTTTTTGATGAAAGTTGCCCAAAATAAAACTGACAGTAGCCTTGAAATGGTGTCTGAAGAAACGGAACGAAATGAAAACACATTATCATCTTCTCCATTTCCTACAAAAGAAATGTCCTCGTTACCCCCAGGTCCTTCTCGCTACGTGCCTGCAAGCCGTAAGAGATCAAACCAAGCAATAGATGATTTCGAGGCGCAAGCTTTAGAAGCGTTGCAAGAGAAAGAAAACCGCCACTTATCATTTTTCAAAGGAATTTTGCCTTCTTTGGACAGCTTTACGGAATTACAAACTTTGACGTTCCAAAGCAAAGTTATAAATATCATTACCGAAATTCGGTTCGGGGAACAGACTCAATCAACAACATTTCAATCACGCGGATATCAAACTGGACAACAGTATCAAGCAACACCATTGCAGTCACGCGGATATCAAACTGGACAACATGCCCAGTCACCATCGCCATCGTCGTATCGAACAGACGAATTCGAAGCTACCTATTCAACCAACACTACGATTAATAATTTTACTGATGATAGTCAAGAAGAAGATTATAACTTTGCTTTGTTGTCTAATAGTAACACTTAAATTAAACTGTTTTTAAAGATAATAAATTAATAACTGATTAACATTACGAGTATTATGATATTTGAATTACTTACCTCAATGTAATACCAATCATTTCAATTGGTTCTAAAGGGTTCCTGAATTTGGTATACTGCTTTTGTATATGTGGTTTTAAGGTTTCAACCAAATTATTAAAGCTGGCCACACTCATTCGAAAAAAATTGAAAAAAGTCTTTTCATCTAATAACAACTCCCTATATTCCTGCATAAAAAACTGACCATCACTATTTCTTAATGCTATCAAAGGAGATATCCAGAATCTTCTATGATTTCTACGTTTATTTCGGCGGTGCCGTAATAAAAGCAACAAAAGAACACGTTTGTATCTATCCATTGCAAAGGCTGAACTGAGACGCAACTGCGTCGACGTGCATGCCCGCTTGCGTTGCGTTGGCGCAGCGTCAACGCAACACAGGTGTGGCATACAATGCGTTGTTCCGTTGCGATGACGCGACGCAACGCGGCGCAACGCACTAATGGGGCCTCGCTCTTACAACCCCTTTTCAAGAGCACGCTTTCCTCCAAGACAACGATGACAAAGAGGAAAAATGTTACGAAAAGAACAAACACGAACGCTTCGTGTAAACACTTGTAATTGGCCTTCCTGTACCTAAACCTGTAAAAAACTTGTAAAAACTTGTAATTGGCCTTCCTGTACCTATTTACTGTTTGTATTCTCATTTGTAGTAGCCGTAAGTTTTTTGTAAAAGAATAAAATAAAATAAAATAAAATAAACATTTAAAGAGGCGTTTTTAATGCCGCAAACAGATGTGAAAGGTTATTTGTGGATCTTTTCAAATTTTCCGAAATGGTTGAGGGATAAGTCATACTTTGTTTTTTAATGCGACCGATAGAAATACATTATGGATATCACCATAAGTTATAAGCAATAAATATTTATGCGTTGTATGTTGGTAGGAGGAATGATGAGCTGTGGATGCAAAACAACAGAGTGTGGACGGGAATACCGACGGTCAAAGCATTACTAAATCTTAGACTTGGAGTTGGCATAACCTTCAGTAAGAATGATTAAGCCAGTAGCCAAAATCAAACCATACTATACGTCAGTTTAGACCAAACAAAAGAGGTGTTTTCTTTCCTAGTAACGGGTTAAAAAAGATTAAGCTCCAACAAAAAGCAGTATTTGTGCGCCATATAAATCACGACAAAGCTTGCGATAACAATAGCAACACAAAAGCAAAGTACTGAATGAAAACGCTCGTACAATTTTATGAATGAAATAATTCATCAAGAGCTTCATTAACTTTCGACTAAAGTATTCTTAGCGTCATCTCGGCTTTGAATCGTTAATTAGAGCTTTGAAATAATTCAACGATAGGCCGCGTTTCACTCGAGTGTTTATTATCTATACTGTGAGAGATATCAATTTGTCGACGTTAGTATATTGTGAAGCTTCGTCAATCACCGCTTTAAGCTTTACAAATTACAGGTCTAAGTGAGTGACAACAAAATATGTAAATAATCATAATGTCAAAACATCATTAACGTATAATAACTACATTATTATAACTCTATTTTATTTACATGGAGTCCACTTGATGGTAGGTGAAACACTGGGCTCATATCACATCTAAACAAGAAGCGCTGTCGAACTTAACTAATTTAACTTCAGATGCTTTGTAACCGTGACTACAAAATAAAATATTAATTGATTAACGAACTAATACACTTCGCTTTAAAAATGGTTAAAGTGTTTTATTTAAATACACTTCATATATTTTAAACGGATAATTATAGTAAGAGCCCGACATATTTTATAATTATTTACTCTTTAGAAAATTGCTTTTACAACTACGTGTAGCCGTTAGTATGTACAGTTCAAAATCTAACCTGTCTGTCCGTAAGCGAAGATACAGGCATTGTATCCGTCGAAGGCATTGTCCAAGATATCTCGCCCCAGACACTCGAACACTGTCTTTTGTGATGCGAAATTGTTGAGACCCGGGTCCAGAGAGAAGAAACAGTGGTCGAAGGCGAACGTCTTTGGTTGTTTTCTGAAAAGAAAAGTTTCTGTTAAGCCAATACGTCCTGTTAAGCACAGTTCTAATTGTATTGCCTCTGCACTAATACTTCGAATCACAAAGATCGGCTGATATAGCTACTTCTAATGAGTAAAAATAATTAAATTATTGATAAAATAAATAAATAGCCCGTACGTTGCTTTTTTTTAATATAACTACACGTGTTCGTACTATATAACTAACAGCAGAGCAGAGCTATTAGTTCGGTTTGAGTAAGTATTGACTGTAGTTTACGCGAGTAGTACATATCAATTAAACGCTTTTAACGGTTTTAAGCTCGAAACGTATTTGCTAACTTACGTACAATTTATTTATGCTACGTTTCCCCCCGAGACCACGGCCGCTGCAAAGCATATTGCAACTAAATGAACTTATTTATATCGCGTTTTAAACTGCAAAAAATATTTTAATTAACTAACTTTAAACAACTCCAGACCCACAATAAATATTTTGGGTACATAAAGGTTTATCTAAATTTAGGATTTTATGTTTAATAATTATGTTTAATAAGTTATTTACAACATTAGCCCGGAATTCCAACAAAGTAACTACTAGTAATGCGTAACGCTTATTAAAAGAAAGCTACATGGAAGGAAAAAATTACAGATCCGCCTTTTTATTCTCTTGGACACAAAACGGCAGACGCGTCGCATGCCTTGTATAATTAAAGTACACTAATTGCTGTAAGTTTCAATTAGTCCGTCTGCCCATGAACAGAACGATCCCTGCCTAAACACTACCAGCTGCGGAGTATTTTAGAATGTACGACATTAAATTTATAACATAATATGTCGCCTTACATTTTATATCCAACGAAAGGGTTTCAAGTAAGTACATTTTTAAACTGTATATTATAAACTTGGTACTTTTTGAAGACCAAACAAAATAACGGGTAACGTCTGTATCGTATATATTTATTTATAATGTCGGATATGTACAATTATATATTTCGCATATCATTGTCTTTCGGGCTGTTCGGCCGATGTGAGCGAGAAGAGGTCCTCGACGTTTCGCCATCGTGTGTGGACGGCATCATCAGGAGATGTTAACCCCTCGATTGCTCGAAGAATTCGTCGGCCGAACAGCCCGAAAGACAATGATATGCTGAACGATGGCCGTGAAAGCCTTACACGATTTATATATTTCGCATTTATTCATGTATATATTTCGGTTTGTGTACCCTTATACAACAGCATCAAGGAGCAATTTTAACAAAACAACGTTACATATTTGTTTTATTAATAACAAGAGTGACAAAAAAACGAAACGGGGAGGGTCTTGACCTAGCATCTACAGCGTTCCATGCTGCTGCTCTTTCGAATTGAGCTATCGTGTCTGCTTATGGTTTTACAAAAATCACATACAGAGAAACTATGAACTATTCTTATTCTAGCTAAATAGCATGGACATAGACTTTTTTTTCATCAAAAAGACTACAAAAAAACAAATGCTCGGTTACACTATATTGGAGTTTAACTCGACTTGCGACTGTATTAACAGGCAGTAGTGATCTATGCGCGATCGAAACTCTTCATTCGTCTCACGCAATTCGTTTTACCGTAGAAATACGTAGTTAGACATAGTCTTTAACAAATAAGAGTTATAGAAAAACATTTTAATTAAATTTAGTCTTACAGACAGTATCCATATTAGTTGAGAGCTATTACAAACCGAAAGACGACAATTTATAAATACACAGATTATACAACATTCTCGTGCAGACTATAGATAAAGTTATATCGTCGTACCGATTGCGAATTCAAAACTGCATTATGGAGTAGTTACAAGTTTTAAAATAGCCGCGTATTTTGCATAATGCCGTTGTCTCACGCCCTGTTGTATCTCATTATTCGGTCCATTGCGTTCAGACAGATTATCTCCCTTGTATATAGATTTTACTTATTTCTTAGCGACTTGTTGCGTAATTGAATACCGCCGCGGTGAATTCTCAAGGGTTTACAGACGTTTTGAAACTGCGAAACCAAGTTGTCTTACAAGTTAAGTGACAGAACGACAAACCTGACATTATGATCGTTATAGAATTATACGCTGGACCTAACTACTCAATCTGAAAATTGGCATCAACAACTATACTAAACGATACTTCTATACTAATATGTATATAGAGTTAAAAAGATTGTTTGTCGGTGGCTATAAAAACAACACGATGCGACCAATAGGAGCGGAGATTGAGTGGGAAATGTGGAAGAAAAGGGGAAAATTATTCATCTCTAAGGTTTCCGTTGCATGCGCTTTGAAAACGATTCAAGATACCCAAAACTAATGTATGAAAAAAAGAATCCTCTTTAAATGATCTACAAAAATGTCCGGGATACTTTACGTCTATCTTTTAAGACTAAATTGCAAAACGACGGGATCCGTAAAACAGATGCCGAGCGGTAAAAGCTTAAATTTATATATTATAGTGAAGTTTTGCGAAAACAAATTCAAAAAAAAAACTATTCTCCGCGCACAAATTCGCTGACTCAGCTAGTATAATATATAGAAAGAATTATACTAGTTGACAATAAATGAAAAACATTTAAGCTTATATTGTAGCAATGTTCGTGTATTATTTTCTTGGCATTCAATTGACACAGTATTATAATAACATATAGACATAACATGCACATCCTCCTTTCTATCCGTATCTTATTATTCTTTGATAAATAAACGTATCTAAAGCGTTTTTAATAAACCAAATAAACGAAACAAGGACATAGATTTTCTTTTAATTGCATCAACGCAATAATGCCGCTTCCTTTGTAATAAAATACTGCACGAAGCGCCGTCGGAGCCTAAGACTACAAAACTACTAGACTAAAAAACCCAAATTAAAAAACCATCGAGATTTCAAAAAATGCGCTTAAGAGCTCTTCTTTAAAGTATTCTACGAAGTTACTTACAAATAATAATATATCTTATTTGTGTATTATGCTTTATTGTCTAATTTGCAACATAGGATGGATGTTGACAACTGAAACGGTTCTAAATACATGTTAATGCAGTTATCTCTGCGCTAAACATGCGTTTTATATGTAAAGTAACCAACAGAACCGATATTGTTTTATAACAATAATACGTATCATAAATCCTTCAAAGTAATCAGTCGACGATCAATAGAAATTCAAAAACAGAAACACACAGCAACAGGTAGAAAATACGATGCACATGCAAGCGTGATTCATTTCACAGAGACATAGTGCACTCAAAGGTTATTCGATACGAGTGTCGTTCAAAAGCGCCCGTGCGGAAATAATGTTAAAAAGTGTCGTTACCAACAATAAAAACAAATGACAATATATTTTAGCATTGTGTAGGATCAAAGTTAAATACTTAAGGTTTCTGTTTGTAATTAGTAATTTTAAAGAAAAAAAATATACTTTTTTTAATGCAAACAAAACACTTTTAACGGTGTTAAACGCGAAATATATTAACGAAATATATACCTTGTTAACTTATTTAAAATTTATTTTTACGAACGCCATTTGAATGCTTTGCAGCAGCCGTGGTCACGAGGGGTCACTAGTTAAATAAATTGTAAATAAGTTAACTGATACAATTACCTCTTTAAACCATTAAAATTGTTTTATTTATACACATAAATAAATTAAAAATTTATTTTAAAAACTCGCGAAACTACAGACAAAACATATTTTCAATTCCAAATTTGTTATTTACTTGTACATTACAGGTAAGTTGTATATTAAAATTTGGACTCGAAGTAATTAATTCTCTTATTAAAAACTAGTGTTAATTAGAGTTTACTTTAATTGTAATAATTATAAGGCAATAAGATGGCTATAAAATCTTATTGCCTCATAATTATTACATTAAAATTAATAATTTTAATTAAAAAAATATAGTAAAGCGTACAACTGCCTTATAAAAACCAGAATTCTCAGTTGTTTAACAAATATTTAAGTATAGTCACAACGTAAACAAATTTACAATGCCAAGAACGTCGTCCGAGATGTTTTTTCGCAAACAAAAAACGATAAAAACATTCTCCACTTAATAGTAACATTGAGTAAATCAGATTAACGCTGTGTTTGGAAACACGACCTCGAGGTCATTGTTCTTTTGTGAAATCTTTATATCGTAGGCTGATGTTGGTTTTGGTTTGTAATGTCGCTTTCGAGAACAAACTATTTTTATATGATGTTATTATTTATGGCACAAACGAAAGGCGGCCGGAAACACATTAGAGAGCAAATAGCATTATATGTGTACTAGCTGTGTCAGCGACTTCGTCCGCGAGAATCGTTATTTTGAGCATCCAAATTCGTTTTTGCAAACCCTTCATACCATACCAGTATACCAGTTAAGATGTATATCGTTGTTTTTTGGAATTATCTCATTATAATCGAATATAATCTGTAAATATTTTATGAAAGCAGGTATCACACTCTGTTGTTCCCTTCCATAAATCACCATTAAATAGGACTAACCCTATTTTGGTCTAATTGCACGTTTTAAAAAAGTACAAACTAAATGAAATATTAATTATACTAATATATATAAAAAAAAACGTGATAGAGTAATTATGTTAATATAGGATACAATTAGTTGCTTGTATTAAGCATAATATATACGTTGTTAAATATAAATTAAAAAATACTCAGGTAGGACTCGAAGTCACGACCAACAATAGCTACCGCGTTCAGTGTGTGATCATCGTTATTATCTGTCTTTATAACAAGTACGTGTCTTGCAAATTTGCATACGTATTTTTACTGTATGTAGCTCACTTATTATAATTCTTATTATATCAAATACTTATATATATATAAAATACTTTGTCAATTAAGTTCGACGGGCTCGTTGGTGTAATGGTAGCATTGTATTGCTAATAATCAACGGGTCGTGGATTCAATCCTGACCAGGTCTAACTTTTTTCTAGACAATTTATAATTTTTCTGAAATATATTGGACTTCGCCTAGAAGTTTGAAATGGGTGGTAGGAATATTGA